ACAGACAACAGACACTGGCTCATCCCTTGAGTTAGGGGCTTTTTTCCTGCCTGGATGATAAAGAACTGGACTGAAAATAGGAGAAAAACCATAGAGTCCTTTTGCTCAGATCAAAGAAAGTCTGAAAGGAAGTCGTTGTTGGAGATATTTAAACATTTTTAACATTGAACCAGTTTACAACCAGAGAGATTGGACTGGTTTGCTCCATTTTTTCCAGATTTCTCCTCCATCCTGAAGCCTCTCCAGCAGCTCCTCTCTTGAAGGAGTCTCAAGGATCTTCTCTGGAAGCTGCTGCCTTCAAAATCCTGTTTCCTGTCTGTCAGACTGGGTTTTCTTTGGCCTTCTTCCTCCATCAGCTCCAGAAATGGAACAGATGATGTGTTTCTGTGACAAAGAGCCTGAAGATCCACTTTAAGCTGCAGATACTGGCTCATCCCTTGAGTTAGTTTGAGTTTTATGACTCAACAAAGATGAAAACTGGACAGAAAATGAGTGAAAAAGTAGAAAATATCCACACAAAAACCCTAAAAGAGCTCAGAAATCCTGGATCAGAGTCAGTAAAGAACACTTTAAAGGACGTCTGGCTGCTTTTAGGGAAAATAGAAAGAAATGAAAGGTGAAGACTGTTTAACTCGTCTTAATGCTTCTTTTCCTTGTGAGTCTCCACTTTAAGCTGCAGATGCTGGCTCATCCCTTGAGTTAGGGGCCTTTTTCCTGCCTCTGATTCACAGCGCAGGGTTGAGAGAATGAACAAAGAAAATTTCCTCTGAAAATGCTCAGCTGCAAGACTGAAAATGAGAGAAAAACAGAAAATGTCCAAAGAAAAATCTTGAAGGAGCTTGAGACTTTAAAGTAGAGGACTGAAGGGAGGGGGTAGAAAGGAGGGCTGGATCAGGACTTTTGGTGCAGAATTTCTGCCTAATTTAACAAAAAAAGTCTAAGTTGGATCTTTTTATTTAATGCCAACAGCCTATTTGCATTTATATGTACGTATATCTGTCATATATGAGTCAGGAAACGTGCGCTCCAAGAGGACTCACCCGTCTCTGAGCAGGGTCAGTGAGTACGAGTCCACGTCGCCTGGTGGTTTTTCCCATGATGCCTGGAGGCTGTCCACCCCGGAGGTCCTCATTTTAATGGTGCGTAAAGCCTCTGGAGCTGAAAGACACCAACAACCCTTCAATCAATATGGAGTGGAGATAGAAACACAAAGCAGGGGTCCTTTAAAAAATAAAAAAAATAAAAAATGATTTACTAAATTTTTCAACTTTTACAACAACATAGATTAAAAAAAAGCATGTTTAGAAAAAGCAGAAAAACAACCAAAAATTTGTGGAAGCAGTTGCAAAACAACGAAAAATAACGAGAGAAAAAAATCAGCGTAAGAAGCAGCGAAACAACCAAAAATAAGTAGAAAAACAACCCCAAATTACTGGAAAAAGCAGAAAAACAACAGAAAATTAGTTGAAGAAGCAGGAAAAAAATGCCAAATAATTAGAAAAGGCTGAAAAACACCAAAAATGAGTGGAAGAAGAAGCAAAACAGCCAAAAATATGTAGAAAAAACAAACAAAATATGTGGAAAAAGCAGAAAAACAACCAAATATTAGTTGAAGAAGCAGGAAAAAAAAGCCAAATAAGTAGAAAAGGCTGAAAAAACACCAGAAATTAGTGGAAAAAGAAGCAAAACAACTAAAAATATGTAGAAAAAAATAATAAATGAGTGGAAAAAGCAAAAAAAAAAAACAACCAAAAATAAGTACAAAAACATCAGAAAATTGGTGGAAAAAGCAGAAAAACAACAAAAAAAGAGTGGAAGAAGTAGAAAAAGTCCCCCCAAAAAGTGACACCCCATTTTCCAATCCTCCTCAGACATGTCTGTGTGGTTTGGACTCCTGATGGGACACGCACCTGTTCTCCCCTCCACAGACGCAGAGGTGCTCAGGTTGTGGCTGCGAGTTGCCACGGTGATGGCGTAACGCCGGCCGGGGGTCAAAACGTTAAAGGTGCACTCCCTCATGTTCGGCTCCACCTCTCTGGTGTCCACGGTGACGTTATCTGTGGGAGACAGAACAAAAATAAAACATAAAAAACACAGACCTGACAGACGTTTTCAGCTTTTTATTCGAGCTAAGGAAGCTGCTCATTTCTGGATTTATACCTGAAAGTGGGATTTCTTTTGACTACAAGTCAGTACCAGTGACATTCTTTCTGACAAGGCAGGGAATGTGTTAAATAACACTTAAAAAGCAGTTTGACCTAGTTTTGAATCTTTACTTTGAAGTAACACAAAAATAATGTTTTCTGTATATCTCAGTGAGAGCAATTCATTTTTGGTATTTTGATAGTGTGATATCTTTTGACTGCAAGTTAGTACTAGTGACAATATTTCTGACAAGGCAGGAAATGTGCTAAATACCACTTAAAAAGTCATTTTACATAAATTATATTAATAACTCTGACGTTATAGCAAAATCCTGTTTTGTTCATGTGTAACTTGGCTGCTTATTTCTGGATTTATCCTGGAAAGTGGGACATCTTTTGACTGTAGTTACCATGGCGAATAGTCAGGAAGTAGCCGTCCCGTAGGCCGGAGGGGGCGTGGCTCCACATGGCGCTGAGCGAGGTCTCGTCGGAGTGGCGGATGTGGAGGTCCAGCACCGGAGCAGGAGCTGCACACAGGACCAGCAGGTCAGAGTTTCAGGGGTTTGTTGGTTTTTTACAGTAAACTAAAACTTTCCTGAGGTCACACATGAAACCCTCAGAGTTTGAGGAACAGCCTCCTAGCTGACTGTATCTGTAAAGGTCCTCAGTCATCTATAGTGGAAAAGGCAGCAAAACAACCAAAAAATAGGTGGAAGAGGCAGAAAAACTATGCAAAATAAGTAGAAAAAGCAGCAAAACGACCAAAAATAAGTAAAAGGAGCAGCTATAACAATGCAAAACAATGACAATAAAAGTGGAAAAAGCAGAAAAACAACCAGAAATTAGTGGAAGAATCAGTCAAACAATACAAAATAAGTAGAAAAAGCAGCAAAACAATCAAAGATGCTGCTTCCTCCACAAATTTTTGGTTGTTTTTCAGCCTTTTCTACTTATTTTTAGTTGTTTTGCTGCTTCTTCCACAAATTTTTGGTTGTTTTTCTGCTTCTTGTACTTATTTTTGGGTGTTTTGCTGCTTCTTCCACTTATTTCTGGTTGTTTTGCCGTTTCTTCTACTTATTTTCTTTTGTTTTGCTGCTTCTTCCACTAATTTTTGGTTGTTTTTCTGCTTTTTCTAAGCATTTTTCATTGTTTTTCTGCTTCTTCCACTTATTTTTGGTCATTTAGCTGCTGAAAGTCTTCTGGAAACCTCCGCCTCCAGCTTCCTGACCGGACTTTCCCAGCTTTACCTGACTGAGAGCCTTTAGGGCCGTCTCACCTGTGGACCCTTCACAGCTGCTCTCCGCCCACAGCCCCCCACTCTCCACTCTCAGCTCGGCTCTGTGCAGCTTTCCAGGTGTTAGACTGGTCCCAGGGAAGCTGAAGTTCACTGCCCCTGGCTCCAGACCGGTGCTGACCACCTCCTGGGACCCGGCCAGCAGCCGGAGCCTGTAGCGCTCCCAGTGGCCAGCAGGGGGCGACCACGTGAGCAGCAGGCCCCCGGACACCGCCGGGGTCAAAGAGAGGAGGGAGGCCGGCGCCGGGGCTGCAGACAGAACAAAAACCAGCCCGGTTTTAAAGCCTCACACAGCACAGGAGCAGCTCTTTTAGGGGGTTTTAATATTTCTTTTTAGCTGTGTCAACTTTGGGGACTCAATTTTAAGCCTTTTTCTCCCTCCAACTGCCTCCAGATGCTTATAAAGTACAGCAGAACCTCTACAGAGTCTAACTGGTTCCAGGACCGACTTATTTTGTTAAAATATTGGTATGTTGGTTCAAATATTGCATCAGAATATTCTGTAATAATATAAATACTACAGAATAAATTCTAATAATAATAATAATAATAATTCCTATAATTGGTTCCAAAAACATACGATAACTTCTCAATAAATACTGCAGATAATTACAAATAGCAATAAAACATAATAATAATATCTAATATATATTATACATACAATATATGTTGAATGTGTTATTTTTAACTTTAATTCTTCTTTAACTGTTTTTATTCATTTCAATGTATTCTTTTATTTTATTCAATTTTTTTTCTTTATATTTTCTATTTTGCAGTTCGTTCCACTGTGGACCAGATGAGAGGAAATGTTTTTTAAAATTTTAAATGAGCTTCACCTGACCTGTTCTGACGGTGGTTTCTGATTGGCTGGTCAAACCGCCACTCCTGGAGGTGACTGCGACCTGATAGGCCGATCCGGGGGTCAGTTGGGGGACGGTGGTGGCGGTGGCGTCCGGGGGCAGCGTGGTCTCCCAGACGCTGGCGTTGTTCAGGGAGACCCTGACGACCACGGCGTCCGCGTCCCCGGCCGGCGGTTGCCACGACAACCGGAGGCTCGTCTGGCCGCTGTCGGCTGTAATGTTGGAGACGGAGGCTGGAGCTGGAGAGAAGAAACTCAGATTTTGTTCCTCCTTACTTATCTTTCCTCCCTCCTCTACATCTACTTGTGTTTCTTCCTTTTATACTTTCCGTCTATATTTCCTAAAACGAGGTTCAAAATGGCCGATCGATCTTTACTGTCCAGGCGTGAGAAGTTTTGGACCAATTTGGGTCCATTTTGGATCAGTGTAGGTCCATTTTGGATTGGTTTGGGTCAGTTTTGGTACGGTTTAGGTCCATTTTGGGTTGGTTTAGGTCAGTTTTGGACCAGTTTAGGTCTGTTTTGGACCAGTTTGGGTCCGTTTTAGGCTGGATTGGGTTAGTTTGGCGTCATGTGCTCAGCTCCGTGGGGTAGGACGGGGTGGCAAAGTAAGTTTTTATATCAAATACCTGTTAAATAAACAGGGAATCAACAATAACAAAAAAGTTTCCTTATGAAATCTATCGTCCTCCATGTTATCCTGCAGTTTATCATCATTTCTATGAACTCGTTGGAGGCATGACGTGGTTGCGCCGCAAAGCGAGAGGAGCTGAAATTTTTTTTAATAATATTATATTATAGACCACAGCGTTCCAGGAGATCTGCTGACAGAACATTTTCTGTGCGTTGGTTTCTGAATATGACGCGAGGCTATGAAGAAATATTCAGATTTAGTCTGCTTTAGTCTCCTTTTTGACCACATTCAAATCTCTTCCACTGTTTCTCTTTCCATATTCATCTTTAATTGCCTCTAACACCTGCCCTTTACCTGTCCGGGCCTGCACCGTGCTGCTGCTCTGCAGCCCGCCAGCCTCCGTTACCATGGTGATGTTGTACAGGCGTCCTGGCGTCAGGCCGGTGACCGTGTGTCTGGTGGCCGTACTTTCTAACGTCTCGTTCCTCAGCAGACCTGTGGACACAGACGTTTAGGGTCAAAGGTCACAAAAATGTAAATGTTGAACATTCAATCAGCCCAAAAAGTCTAACGTCACCCTCCTGTTCACCGTGCTTCACTGATTACCCCCCGTTACCCCCGGTTACCCCTGGCTGCCCGCATCAAACCCAACTCCCTGATTCTGGCCTACAAAGGGCTTAAGGGTTCAGCTCCCATCTACCTTAACCCTCAAAACAGTTTTAAAGCACCAAAAAAACAGCTTTAAAACCCCCCAAAAACAGCTTTACCGCCGGAAAAACCGCTTTAAAGCTCCAAAAACAGCTGTAAAGCACCAAAAAACAGCTTTAAAGCCCCCCAAAAACAGCTTTAAAAGCCCCCCAAAAACAGCTTTAAAGCCCCAAAAACAGTTCTAAGGCCCTAAAAAACACCTTTAAAAGCCACAAAGGAGTATCAAAGCCCCGAAAAAAGCTTTAAATCCCCCCAAAACACCTTTAAACGCCCCAAAAGCAGCTTTAAGATGGTGGAATGACCTCCCAGGCGCTACAAAACCAGCATGTCCCCTTTAAAAGCGTCTAAAAGCAGAAACATAACCCGTCTGTTCTCAGACCGGTCACCTACCGGGCTGATGAGGGGCCTCCTCCCACAGCAGCAGCCTGAAGCGCTGCGTCCTGCCGGGGCCGGCCTGCCACCCCAGGCCCAGGCTGGAGAACGTCCTGGAGCCCACCGCCAGGCCGGAGACCGCCGCAGGCCCTGGACACACACACACACACACACAAACACACACAAACACACACACACACACAG